ATAGACTAAGGAAACATGTCATTCTTCTTAGGAAACAGGCACTTCTGACGTGGCTGACAGTCACTCTCACTACAAGACAAGGGATATTGTATCTTTGGGGCATCATCTGACTTGCCAATAGAAAGTATCATTGTCTATTTTTGTACAGCATTCTTTCCTCACAAGAAGGTACATGATAAGGAACTATATAGACAGATCTGAGCTACTTCCGTGATAAGGACCTATATAGATAGACTCAGTAAACTATACCTTGTTTACACACTACAACTTAGCTGTTAGCATGAAAACTTCTATGTATCAGCTAATGTAGACCTTAGCCACTTCACGCGTTCTTTTAGACACTGTGGCACATCTGCAAATCCATAGGCAGCAATATCCAACCATCACTATCTGTTGAATGATATGGCGATGGGCTACTAGTGCTGGGATTGGTATAGCATAAAAGTCCCACTGGCCATGCTCAGTAAGTGCCCAGTCCAGCACTTGCTACTGCACATGGTATGTCCACTTTTTTGCAGTTGCTTCCCTTAATGCCAAATAATGGTGGAATACATGTTAGTTTGAAAGCTATTTTAAAAGTATATTTCTGACAGTCAAACCATTGGTACTAATAAGAAAGAGAATACTTGCACCAAATGTTTTATTGTCGAACATAGCATTAGGGGTATGGAGATTTTTGAAAAACTTCATGTGGCTCTAGGGTCAAAAGTAAGCAAAGCTAGTGAATGAAATTTTGTCAACCTGTTTTAGGGGTGCATAAGGTTGAGGATAAAACAAAACATTTGCATTTTAAAAACTGGAATTAAATAATAAGCATGTATATTTTATGTATAATAAGTAGACAGTAAGGACTACAGTAATTTTATTTCTCATATTCCATTTTTCTTTTAGCTACAACTTCTTGACATGGACTCTAGCAGTGTATATCAGATCATAAGATCTGGTTTTGAACTCTAGGGTGACACAAACATTACTTAACAGTAGTCTGACTTGTCATAGATATAATAAGGAAACTGATTCTCCCTTAATTGTTTTGAGCAGTGTAAATATTTCTTAAAGATGTATTATGATCATATATAATGTAATGTTTTTTTTAAAGTAAAATACATCTGCATTATTAAATATTTCATCACTTTACTGAAGTACTGGTTCACTACTAGAAACCGATTTGGTCACTTAAATACCAACTTTCTAAACGACAAGCTGGTAATTTTAACATCAACTTCGTGAAGTAGCACAATAAGCACATGTATATACAACAGATCATTGTAATTTTAAAATATAGATTGTAGATTAGTGTACATAAGTCAGGTAGGATTTGTTTTCTATTGACACAGAATGTTACTGTCTTCTACAGAATGTCATGTTTACACAGAAAGTTACTGTCTTCTACAGAATGTCATGTTTACACAGTACATTACTGTCATCTAAAGTATGTCATGTTTACACAGTGCATTACTGTCATCTAGAGTATGTCATGTTTACACAGTACATTACTGTCATCTAGATTATGTCATGTTTACACAGTGCATTACTGTCATCTAAAGTATGTCATGTTTACACAGTGCATTACTGTCTTCTAGAGTATGCCATGTTTACACAGTGCATTACTGTCATCTAGAGTATGTCATGTTTACACAGTACATTACTGTCATCTAGATTATGTCATGTTTACACAGTACATTACTGTCATCTAGATTATGTCATGTTTACACAGTGCATTACTGTCTTCTAGATTATGTCATGTTTACACAGTACATTACTGTCTTCTAGAATATGTCATGTTTACACGGTACATTATTGTCTTCTAATTGATTGTTCCTATAAAAACTTAACTACAAGGTTTTATCTTTTGGCTCAATTATATTAGAACTGGTTTCTCCTACATACCTAACAAGCAGACAACATGGGACAGTTTGGACCTTGAAGGCTTTTCTAGTAAACACATGCTTGAGAAAAAGTAAAAATATAAATGCTTTATTTAGTTTTTAGAAAATGATATCATTCCACTTTTAAACTCAGCTGTCTCCACTACTTCTGATGGCAACTCTCTGAGTTAATCTCCCTTGTAGAGAAATATAACTATTTTAACTGGAATCTAGCTAATATTTTTCAAATCTTAAACTTGTGTGAAACTATTATAGTTTTTTAATCCACTAATAATCTAATTATATTAGGAAAAAAAACTTTCTACTTTACATTTGTGGAACAATGTCTTGTGAGTTTGATGAAACTGATATATTTTTAAAATTCAATTATATGCATGACGTTATTCTTTAGAAAGACAGGTTTCATTTACATCTGAAATATATAAACCAGCAGTGTATATAGATATACATCATGTAATTATGTGTCAATGTGTAATAGAATTTATCAGTATTTGAGTGATCTTTTTCTTTTCTGTTTGTGTACTTTTACCTTAACTCATGATAATCTGTTTTTTATTGATCATTGTCTGAAAATGCTATACAGAAAATAAACCATCTTGTAAATATTTAAAATTTTGACTGAGATTTTCTGGATATCTTTTCTTTAACTTGTAATATGTGATCTTGAAGATGTTTGGGAAATCAGTAGCTACTCTGTAGGCTCTACTTTCTGAATACATTCATTTGTAGTCTACTTAAATAGATATTTGCAAAGAAACTACTAACAGATTGTTTTGTACATACAAAAACAGATCTTCTTTCTAACAGCAGCTCTACTGAATGATTATTTTCTCTTGAATCTTGAACAAGATATTTCTTTCAGAAACATTTGTGTGAAGAAACTACATTTTCTTCCAAAATGATCACAAGCTGTTGAGTAAAACTGTAAAAGTTATACTTTGGTTTTCAAAATTGCTGTCAAACAGGTTTATATGAAGAAAATATATATGTTACAGCTTTATGCAGAGAAACTAAAACCACTAGCAAATCATGTATTTTCTGTTCAGTGTTTGTAACACTTCTTTATATCAATAAATTATATCTTCCTTTCTACACCATTAAACAACAGAACCGTTGCACTACTTTTCTTGATAATACAATATTATACCTTGTTTTCAGTCTCTATCATACAGTTATAAATGAATAACCATTGCTCCTTTTCCATCTTTGTAAAACTGAATGATTTTCAAGTTGAAAAAGTTACTCTTTATTTATTATATTGTTGGTATCTTTTACCTTCTGTACAAATTTTTGTATAATAAAAATGGGTTATTCTGTTCAGTGCAACTATACAAAGTATCTATTTTGTATAATAAAAATGGGTTATTCTGTTCAGTGCAACTGTAGAAAGTATCTATTTTGTATAATAAAAATGGGTTATTCTGTTCAGTGCAACTGTAGAAAGTATCTATTTTGTATAATAAAAATGGGTTATTCTGTTCAGTGCAACTGTAGAAAGTATCTATTTTGTATATTAAAATGGGTTATTTTGTTCAGTGCAACTGTAGAAAGTATCTATTTTGTATAATAAAAATGGGTTATTCTGTTCAGTGCAACTGTAGAAAGTATCTATTTTGGATAATAAAAATGGGTTATTTTGTTCAGTTCAACTGTAGAAAGTACCTATTTTGTATATTAAAATGGGTTATTTTGTTCAGTGCAACTGTAGAAAGTATCTATTTTGTATATTAAAATGGGTTATTTTGTTCAGTGCAACTGTAGAAAGTATCTATTTTGTACAATAAAAATGGGTTATTCTGTTCAGTGCAACTGTAGAAAGTATCTATTTTGTACAATAAAAATGGGTTATTTTGTTCACTGCAACTATAACATATCTTATTAGGGATCATTCTTTATAAACAAAGTATTATGTAATTGGTTTTTAATGGTATACAACAGAAGGATAATGTTAATTTTTGTGTTATTTTTATGCTTTAGAAAAATATGTTATTAATCTTTGTAATATTATTATTACCTTTGAATGTCATTATACGTAGGAGAGTGATATGTTGTTAAGTCTCTGTATTGTCAAGATGTATGTTATCAATCTTTGTTCCATTATGTTTTTAAACCCAAATTTTCTAGTATATTGTTTGCTCAGTATGTGTAGCATGATGTTTGAGGATTTCTTAACTTTGTTATTGTTACAAAGTGTTTATTTATGGTGGTTTTTCTAACATTCCTTTGTGGTTGTGCACAACATTAATCCCTAGAAAACAATACCACTGGAACACACAGCATGACATTCACATCAAACATCCTAAAGACATTTATCATGCAATCTTGGTAAAACTTCATGAAGGACAAAAGGTCAAGTAATTGGTGATCATCATACACTGGTGTAGAAAACTCATCTTTATAGTCACCTTTGAACTTCATTCTGTAGATGGTAATAAAAGTGTAATACTATTTGAAATAAGTCTAGATGAACCTGTAACAAAACAAAATCATCTTTGTAACCTGGAATTATGCTTCTATTCATATTCCATAAAACTGTATCACGATATTCGCACCTATACAGATAATGAATATAACAAACATTTGTCTTAGTTACAGATAAAATCAGTCCCGGCTCATGCTCCTCGCCCTTGGTGGTGGGGGGAAAGTGATGCTTTTGTTGACTCTTCATAGAGATTTAAAAAAAAAATCTTATGATTTTTTTACACCGTTAGGAAGAATGAACTTGGGTGAGCCAGAACGAAATTTGGGGATGCATCACCCACCCCTAGTACCAGCCCTGGATAAAACTATTATACTTAATTCTAATCTGCCAGAACAGTTACAGATAAAAATGATACAAATGTAACACAGATCATATTTTCTATCAGAAGTGGGATCTGCCAGAACAGTTACAGATAAAAATGATACAAATGTAACACAGATCATATTTTCTATCAGAAGTGGGTAAAAGTGTACTGAGTATTTTTCTATAAAAAGATGTAATAAACAATTCCATTCTCATCAAGCACAACACTGTTGCAGGGTATCTCATGTAAGAGAAATATATTATTTCACTCCAGATGGCAATTTGTAGTGCTAATGTTGTACATAGTCATATCTCAAGGTCTGTGCTCATACAGTCAAACATGCATTTATTTTGCTGATATTAATCTGTACACAGTATTTTTGAAGACTGAGTTAATTAGCTCTAAGTTAGTTGAAAGAACTACAACATCATACAGACAAAGATGTTGTAACCACTTGACAAGCCTGTCTGTGTACAACACATCAAACACAACACCATGGTTAACATTACATATATATATATGTAAAAATGGTGCATAAGTTCTTTTGTAAGTAGTAGCACGACGATGGTAGTTTAACTTTCTTCACTTATCTTGGGTGTTTTCTAGAAAAACAAAACAGAAACATAGAATAACTAGGGATTCAAAACCAGGATCTACTATTTAAAACTTGGTAATTAATATTAGATTCTGATTTCAGCGTGTATAGCTGATTACATGCACTGTTTTTATACTAAATCTTTCTTATAAAGATTGTTTCATTAGTTGGACACCTTCACTGTTAACAGTATTATCAGACATAAAACCAAGTTAATATCTCACAAGTTTCAGTCAGCTTAGGAGATTTAGATTAGTCCTAAATCCATATACTAATCTAACAATGCAAAATAATCTTTAAGTACAAAATATAAAAATCAGAAATTAAATATAATAAAAATATGCATATTGTTAACATTAATTGACAAAGTGTAAATACTTATGGAAAACATGAACGCTCGTTTTTTTTGCTTCTTGTATTGCTGTAGTATTCAATGAATAATGGAATAAACAAAAGTTTACACAATTCTCCCTATCAACAAGTAGTTAAGTTGACTAAACATAAAACTAGTGGTTCACATTTAAAAATCCATTTCACTGAGTTTCTGCAATAAATTCTAATTTGGTAGTTTAAAAAATTAAATCTTTATGCATAACAATGAACAGGTAAATTTATCATGAAAATGTTGAGATGAACTAATAATAAATATAAGACAAAACTAAACAGTCTTACTCACCTTGTGTTTAGGACATAACAGTGAAAAGTTGTTTTCATCCATTTCACAACCTAAATACAGTATTTTTTGTTTAGTACCACAGAAATAACCGTAATATGTAGTTGAAATAATTTTGTTTCTTTGTTTATTACATTCATTGAAAGCTGCACAATGGCTAACTGTACTAGCTCACCTTAATTTTTGAACTGAAATAGTAGAGAGAAGGAAATCAGTCAACAGCATCTTGGACTACTTTAATCAAATACTGAGATATGACTGTCACTAGTAGAGAGAAGGAAATCAGTCAACAGCATCTTGGACTACTTTAATCAAATACTGAGATTTGACTGTCACTAGTAGAGAGAAGGAAATCAGTCAACAGCATCTTGGACTACTTTAATCAAATACTGAGATATGACTGTCACTAGTAGAGAGAAGGAAATCAGTCAACAGCATCTTGGACGACATTAATCAAATACTGAGATTTGACTGTCACTTTAATAACACACACACACAGCTCCAAAGGGTGGAACATGATTTTGTAGCAGTGAGGCACAAACCATGGACCCTCAGGTTCACAGACCAGCAAGTTAACCACCCAAAATAATTATATTAAATTTCAAAGGATGAACACTTGTTTTCATGCCATTCACTACCAGTACTATTGCATTAGGTAATTTTATGATCTTGCCTGTTACAATACTCAGTGGGAAGAACCGAACAAGAAAATAAAATGGAATGGCATATTTTCTACTTAACACACATCTAGGACCCAAGTAGTAACTAGTGAGATAAACTGAAATATTGATGGTATTTAATTTGGTGTGTGTTGTATTTTTCTATATATGGCAAAGCTGCTAAGGCTATCTTCTGCTTCCCCTACTTTTAATCTAATGACTGAGAGAATGACTGTCACTCTTATAATGCATCCACAGATTAAAGAGTGGGGAATATTTTGTAATATTAGTAGCTTCGAACCCAGCTCCGAAGCATAGAGCTCTGCCACATGACTTACAAAGCTAATATCCAGTGTTAGATATCCCTGATGGATTGAGCACAGCCTATTGTGTATTTTTGTTCTAAAACAAAATCAAAACCAGAGGACAAACCAACACCCTTTTCATGTGATTCATATATCATAAAAGACCCTGTAACTGTCAGAACAATGGAGTCACTGGTAATTCTAGCACTAACAGATATGTGACAAAAAAGGTACTTATGGCTACATAGAACAATTAAAAAGTAATTTTTTACAGAACAGAAGGGTAAAAATATTGAAATGTAACTATTAAATAGTTCATAAACCAAACCAGTTACTCCTTCACAATTGTTTTTCATTACTTGTTGTACCTCACACATACATACCTAACTTTTAAAATTTTAATAGCATAAAACTTCTGCATTAAATATTGAAATTCGTATTTTCTGTACTACATATTTGTTAGTTTTAGCAAAAATATCACTTTTATTAGTTGCTTGTTAATAGTAAATTTCAAGATTTAATCAACATCGTTAAGTAAAGTTCAGAAAAAAAATTTATTGAAAAACTGAGGCTGCATTGTAGTGTCATCTATTGATAGAAATTAGGAATAAATATTTAATTGTTTTGCAGTACAATAAATTAAACAGTAAAGATTATCTCCTACTACCACATACTCTGACTTAATTTCAAAATAATAGTTGTTAATGATGATTAATAGAGTATACAATTCTGGAACTTGTTTTCATCAGTCTGTTTTAAAGGTATTTTACCAAATTATACACATTGAACTGAAATATACACATCTATTTTCAAGAAAAATTACTTCATGTTCAAACATTTATCTTAGTTACATACATTACCCATTTAATGTTCATAATGAAGCCTAACTTACAGAAGTAAGTAAAATATCATTAAGTTCATAGGTATAACAGGATGCCAATACCCATTAAGATCTATTTCTAATGTAATTATTATTTGTTCAAAACTTTCATTATTGAAAATAACAAATTATTCATTTCTAAGATCATAAAAAACAAAAATTATTGTCTACAGTGATCATCTGTAACATATCTATTTTAATAAAAATAATACTTTAAAATGTACATTGTAGAACACCAAGTTCTAAACGTATTTATTATCTGTAACATATCTATTTCAATAAAATAATACTTTAAAATGTACATTGTAGAACACCAAGTTCTAAACGTATTTATTATCTGTAACATATCTATTTCAATAAAATAATACTTTAAAATGTACATTGTAGAACACCAAGTTCTAAACGTATTTATTATCTGTAACATATCTATTTCAATAAAATAATACTTTAAAGTGTACATTGTAGAACACCAAGTTCTAAACGTATTTATTATCTGTAACATATCTATTTCAATAAAATAATACTTTAAAATGTACATTGTATAATACCAAGTTCTAAACGTATTTTTTATCTGTAACATATCTATTTTAACAAAAATAATACTTTAAAATGTACATTGTATAATATCAAGTTCTAAACGTATTTATTATCTGTAACATATCTATTTCAATACAATAATACTTTAAAGTGTACATTTTAGAACACCAAGTTCTAAACGTATTTATTATCTGTAAGATATCAAATTTGAATAAAAATATTAGTTCAAAATGTGCATTGTATAATATCAAGTTCTAAACATATTTATTATCTGTAACATATCTTATTTGTTTTGATGAAAATAGCATTTTATGGTATGAATCAATAATTATGTTAATGAAAATAGTAAATAGAATAAAAGTTTATCATAATACTTAATAATACTGGTATAGAAAACAGTAACTGGAATATAAATTTATCCTAATACTCAATAATACTGGTATAGAAAACAGTAAATATAATACAAGTTTATCATAATACTCAATAATACTGGTATAGAAAACAGTAAATAGAATACAAGTTTATCATAATACTCAATAATACTGGTATAGAAAACAGTAAATATAATACAAATGTTAATCTTAAGTCCCAGCACATTGAGAAACATTTAGATGTGCCAATACGAATTTTATGATGAAACTGAGACTATGTTACATTTCTTTGAGATAAAAATAAATATGAGTTTTAATTTATTAGCTGTATATTATAAAATGTTTAGTTAATTGTTTTCATATAGAAAATGTCATTAATGTAAGCTCTGCTGATCAATCATGTAACATCAAATTTCTGCTTGTGAAGCTTTGCATCAACTAAAGTATACTATTCATACCTGTGTCAGTGGCACAAATGAAGTGATATTGTTCTGGACAGCCTTTGTTTAAACAACCTAGTGTTGCTCCAGTCATCTGGCATTTGATGCATACCTACAAAATAGACATACATAGTATAATACTGGGAACATTCTAATAGATATACCACAGGTATATTTGTACACTACATTCTAATAGATGTACCACAGGTATATTTGTACACAACATCCTAATAGATGTACCACATGTATATTTGTACACAACATTCTAATAGATGTACCACAGGTATATTTGTACACAACATTCTAATAGATGTACCACATGTATATTTGTACACAACATCCTAATAGATGTACCACATGTATATTTGTACACTACACCCTAATAGATGTACCACAGGTATAGTTGTACACTACACCCTAATAGATGTACCACAGGTATATTTGTACACTACATCCTAATAGATGTACCACAGGTATAGTCGTACACTACACCCTAATAGATGTAGTCTATTAGGATGTTGTGTACAAATATACCAGTGGTACATCTATTAGAATGTTGTGTACAACTATACCTGTGGTACATCTATTAGGATGTTGTGTACAAATATACCTGTGGTACATCTATTAGGGTGTAGTGTACGACTATACCTGTGGTACATCTATTAGGATGTAGTGTACAAATATACCTGTGGTACATCTATTATGGTGTAGTGTACAACTATACCTGTGGTACATCTATTAGGGTGTAGTGTACAAATATACATGTGGTACATCTATTAGGATGTTGTGTACAAATATACATGTGGTACATCTATTAGAATGTTGTGTACAAATATACCTGTGGGTACCACAGTATAGTTGTACACAACATTCTAATAGATGTACCACTGGTATATTTGTACACATCCTAATAGATGTACCACAGGTATAGTTGTACACTACATTCTAACAGATGTACCACAGGTATAGTTGTACACTACATCCTAATAGATGTACCACAGGTATATTTGTGCAAAACATTTTAATAGATGTACCACAGGTATAGTTGTACACTACATCCTAATAGATGTACCACAGGTATATTTGTACAAAACATTTTAATAGATGTACCACAGGTAGAGTTGTACACAACATTCTAATAGATGTACCACAGGTATAGTTTTACACAACGTTCTAATAGATGTACCACAGGTATAGTTGTACACAACATTCTAATACATGTACCACAGGTATATTTGTACATATCCTAATAGATGTACCACAGGTATATTTGTACACTACATCCTAATACATGTACCACAGGTATATTTGTACACAACATTCTAATAGATGTATCACAAGTATAGTTGTACACAACATCCTAATAGATGTACCACAGGTAGAGTTGTACACAACATTCTAATAGATGATCTACAAGTATAGTTGTACACAACATCCTAATAGATGTACCACAGGTAGAGTTGTACACAACATTCTAATAGATGATCTACAAGTATAGTTGTACACAACATCCTAATAGATGTACCACAGGTAGAGTTGTACACAACATTCTAATAGATGATCTACAAGTATAGCTGTATGAAAACATTCTATAAATGTAACATAGGTGTAATTATATGCCAACACTTTACTGAACATATTAAAGTAAAGACATGGCTATATATTGCCATCTTAGTGAATGTGTATTGAAATAGATATACCACAGATTTAGCTGCATTTTGCCATCTTAGTGAATGTGTATTCTAATGGATATACCACGGATTTAGCTATATGTTAAACCTTTATATCAGACTAAGAGTAGACTAGTAACCTTCTAGAGGCACTCAAAGTGTGGATACATTTAAAAAAATTTCTCTATGTGTCAGAAGCACATCTTTTTCTGGTAACACACACTAGATGTGTCACAACTGAGAAGTATTCTGAAAAACAGCTAGATCTACCAGATGTAAACTGTATACTAATAGCTTATTTTCTGTACCAGAAGTATGTTGATACATAACTTATGAGGTGAGTGGTATACAAATACCTCACTAGCTCCAACCAAAGTGTTACTAGAACAACCTATTAATTCTACCTAAACTATGGTCAGTTCTATCAGAACTATGATTATTCTACTGCCTCTACCAATGTTGATATAAAGTACCAGGTGTATAGGTAACAACAGATTAGTTTGTAAACTTGCATTGAGGATGTTAGTTTATATCTTAAAACATTGGATCATATAAATTAGATTTTAAAACCAGTGTTTTGAAACATTAAGTTAGGACATGAAATCTGAGATTTTCAACACTACTTTATAGAGTTCAATGCCTCAAATTTCAAAAACACTTCACCCAGCCATAACATCTAGTGTTTTTATATATTATATTAGATCTTCAAGATGTACTGTTTGAACCCTAAATTAAACTTTAAGTTTTTGTAATTGAAACGTTATGTTAAACTTAGAAACCTGAGATTTCAAACATTAAGTATAACACTTGGACTTACAACAGAAGATAAAAGGCAAATATAGGCATTCCAAATGATATGATGCAAATACCCTAAACAACCCAAAGAACCAATAATAATTACCATCTTGTTGGGCCAAAAGAACAGAAAAGACTACAATCTATTATCAAATGTTTAAGTTGCATTTCTATGGCCATGTTCATAGGCTCATTGATTTCTCCATAACCATGCTGTAGGGTATCGAACAAAGAGCTACCAACTGATCTGAACAATAGAAAACCACAAGGACTGGCATAAAATTAATAAGTATAAGGGGTTGATAAAGGCACTTAAATAAAACTGCTATAGCTTAATTTTGTCAGGGATAGTGCCCAGAATTAAATGTGGGGATGAAGTTATAAGTAGGTCATTAGGGCTTAATGCTCGGCTTAGGTTAGTATGTAAGGATGAGCAGATTGGCTGGTTGGACTTGTGGGATCAGTTCAGTGGGAGAAGGGAGCTTTTTGCAATGGATGGTTTACATTTAAATAGAGTAGGAGCTGGCTTGTTTGCTAAGGCTATTAACTCAGCTGAAAGTGAAGTTTTAAACTAAGACCAGACAGTGATGAGGGCCAGGAAAAACTGAATGCAAAAAGAATAAGAGGCAGAGAAAAGTTTAGCATAGGAAATGAGTATAGAAGTAGTTATAAGGATAGGCTTAATTATTACTATTGTAATTATAGAAGTTTAATATGAATAGAGTATTAAAGAGGGGAGGAGGAGTGGCGTTATATGTAAAATGTGGGTTACATCCTGTTGAAGTTGAGGATATCAGAGATAATAGCATGGAGATTGAATCCATTTGAGTTTTGTATTAGTGGATATAAAGAGAAAAGGCTTTTAGTGGGAATTTGTTACAGACCACCAAATGGTACTGATGAAATTAATGAGAAATTTTACAATGAGATTAAGATTTCAACTACTGATGAAATCATAGTTATGGGTGATTTTAATTTTAGGCAGACAGATTGGAAAATTCTAGAATCAAACTATGAGGGAGAAAGGTTTTTGTAAACTGTTCAGGATGGCTTTCTTCACCAGTTAGTCAAGGAACCAACTAAAAACAATGCTATTTTACAGTTATTGTTAACTTCAAATACAGAAATGATTGAGAGGGTAGAAATTGGGGAACATCTGGGTGCAAGTAATCATTGCTGTATTAGGTTCGATGTTTTGATGCATATGGAAATAAGGAATAATGACATTTTGGTTACAGATTTTAAAAAAGCAAATGTTGAAGGGATGAGACAAGAGTTATCTGTTGTGAATTGGTCAGCTGAGTTATTTGGAGACACTGATCAGATGTGGAAAATTTTTAAAGATAAATGTTTAAATATTCAAGATAAACATATTCCTTGTTGAAAGAAAAGGGTAGCTGCAAGTAAAAAAACTAGGTTGGTTCACAAAGAGCTTAAAAGATAAAATTATAAAAAAGCACCATAAATTTAAGAAATTTAAGTTGACTGATATGACAGGAGACTTAGAAGATTATAGAAGATCAAGAAAGTTGGTGAAACAGGAAATTAGGACATCAAAAAAGATGTATGAGAAAAAATTGGCTGAAAATGTAAAAATTAACAGTAAGGATTTTTTTAAACACATTAAAGGTAAACAAAATATTAGGATGGGGATAGAACCCTTGAGGGATGATAAAGGAAGGCTAGTATCTGATGATTATGAGATGGCTGGGTTATTAAATTTAATTTTTTTTAGGTTTTACTACTGAAGATTTAAGCAATATTCCACATCT